TTCAGTAGGGGATGGACAGCATCAGATTTGCAGGTTTTAAAGACTCTCTGGCTGGACTGACTGGGGAGGAGCCACAGACAGGAGGGACAGACTTAGAGGAGGAGCTGTTAGCAGTGCAGGAGAGAAACTGACCGTTTGAGAGAGTCCATAGTACGGATGTGTTTTCTCAATATAAAGACACTGGTTTGGCCAGGTGTGGTGGCTCACACCTGTAGTCCCAGCAATTTGGGAGGCCAAGGCAGGCGGATCGTGTGAATCCAGGAGTTCGAGACCAGCCTGGACAACATGGTGAAACCCTGTCTCTACTAAAAATACAAAACTTCAGGCCGGGCGCGGTGGCTCAAGCCTGTAATCCCAGCACTTTGGGAGGCCGAGGCGGGTGGATCACGAGGTCAAGAGATCGAGACCATCCTGGTCAACAAGGTGAAACCCCGTCTCTACTAAAAATACAAAAATTAGCTGGGCATGGTGGCGCACGCCTGTAATCCCAGCTACTAGGGAGGCTGAGGCAGGAGAATTGCCTGAACCCAGGAGGCGGAGGTTGCGGTGAGCCGAGATTGTGCCATTGCACTCCAGCCTGGGTAACAAGAGCGAAACTCCGTCTCAAAAAAAAAAAAAAAAAAAAAAAAAAACTTGGCTGGGCATAGTGGCTCATGCCTGTAATCCAAGCACTTTGGAGGCCAAGGCAGGCGGATCACCTGAGGGCGGGAGTTCAAGACCTGCCTGACCAACATGGTGAAACCCCATCTTTATAAAAAAAATCAAAAATACAAATACAAAACTTAGCCGGACGCAGTGGTGCAAGCCTGCAGTCCCAGCTATTCGGGAGGCTGAGGTGGTAGGATCACTTGAGTCCAGGAGGCAGAGGTTGCAGTGAACCAAGATTGTGCTACTGTACTCCAGCCTGGGTGACAGAGTGAAACCATCTAGAAAAAAAAGGCACTGGTTTGAGACTAGCATGGGCAACGTAGTGAGACCCTGTCTCTAAAAATAATCGAAAATTAACTGGGCATGGTTGTGCCCATCTGTAGTCCCAACTACTTGGGAGGCTGAGGTAGGAGGATTGCTTGAGCACAGGAGGTTGAGGCTACAGTGAGCTGTTACTGTGCCACTGCACTCCAGCCTGAGCAACTGAGAAAGACTCTGTCTCAAAAAAGAAAAAAACAAAACACTAAAAGCCAAATGCCAAGTTTGTGGTGGCTCATCAGAAGTTTTTTTTTTTTGGTGGGGGGGACTAAGTCTTGCTCTGTCGCCAGGCTGGAGTGCAGTGGTATGATATCGGCTCACTGCAACCTCCGCTCCTGGATTTAAGCAATTCTCCTGCCTCAGCCTCCCGCATAGCTGGGACTACAGGCGCATGCCACCAAGCCTGACTAATCTTTTGTATTTTAGTAGAGACAGGATTTCACCATGTTGGCCAGGATGGTCTTGATCTCATGACCTCGTGATCCACCCACCTTGGCCTCCCAAAGTGCTGGGATTATAGGCGTCAGCCATAGCTCCTGGTCCAGAAGTTTTTAAATGTTTCTGAAAAAGTCTTCTTCCTCCAAAAGGCTGGGAAGGCCTCTATGTATAGGTAACACCCAAGCCCCTTCCTCAGGCCTCCTAAGCCTTCCAAGGTGGGGCCCAGCCTTGTTCTCCAATGCTGTGCCCCTATTTGCACCCCAGTGTCCAGCCTGAGGCCTAGTGCCCTCCGCCCAGGTAACCACGGTGGCCCATGCCTCCCAGCCACTGTGTAGGCTGTCACTGCCGCAAAGCTTTCCCCACTCCCTCCTGTGTCTTGTTCAACGCTCAGCCCGGCACCTGGCCTGTGGTAAAGCTTTCAATCAATACATGTTTTACACACAGCAGAGGCAATCACTCCCTCTTTACCTTCATGCAGAGTACACACCTCTAATACCGGACTTAGGTTGCTCAGCAATAGCCTGTTTACTTGACATCTCCACCCAGACTGCGAGCTCAAGAGCTGGGGTGCTTTCATCTTTGTGTCCTGGCTGCCTGGCACACAGTAGGTGCTCAGCTGGCACACAGTAGGTGCTTAACAAAAGCTTGTTGAATGGTTGCGTAACACCCATCTAACCTTCCCTGATCACTTCTGAGAAACCATAGTACATCTATGGCACCTCTTATATCTCTCTCACCACACTCCTCTGTAGCCCAGCAGTTAATCCAGGTACCTCAGACAAGTCCAGGTTCAAATCCTGGCTGCACACTTGATGATGACCTAGCACATCCCTTCAGCCTCAGTTTCCATTTGGTGCCCATATTCCATTATGGAAGTGGAAGAATGCAATCAGGTCGTTCCTGGCAAGAGTTTGGCAAATGTCGAATAACTGCAAACTTTGTTATTATGGCCTCGCCCACAGTTTTCTCATCCCCAGAATCCTGAAGCCAGCCGTTTAGTGCCCCAGAGACCTTGCTCTTAGAGAGTTAAGATGCCCTAGACATGGCCAAAAACAAGAAGGTCCAAAGTGAAGATAACATTTTAAAAAATGGGTAGAATGGAAGAACGAGTAGGAAGAAAATGAAGGCTGGGCCGGGCAAGGTGGCTCACACCTGTAATCCCAGCACTTTGGGAAGCTGAGGTGGGCAGATCATGAGATCAGGAGATCAAGACCAGCCTGACCAACATGGTGAAACCTGGTCTTTACTGAAAATACAAAAATTATCTGGGCGTGGTGGTGGGCGCCTATAATCCCAGTTCCTCAGGAGGCTGAGGCAGAAGAATTGCTTGAACCCAGGAGGTGGTTGGAGTGAGCCGAGATCTGCGTGACAGAACTAGACTCGGTCTCAAGAAAAAAAAAAGAGAAAGAAAGAAGAAAAGACTGGCCAGGGTGGCTACAGAGGGCCCTTGAGGCTGCCTGGGAGTGCCTGCGTGTATTGGTGTGGCAGGGCCAACCGTCATGGTCCAGCACCCGCCCAGCATCTGCGTTCTGCTGCAGCTCTTCTGGCCCGGGCTGGCGGCAGCTTCTTCCCACATGGCTCAAGGGCTCTCCATCCTCAGCTCCCTGGCTCTCCCAACAAACCTGCTGTGAATTTCTTGGGGTTGCTTTCCACTTAGGGACTGAGAAGACTTGGACATGAGGGACAAAACTGTCATCAGGAACCCAGACTGGCTGCCTAGAAATATGGCTTTCCCTGGGCCTCATCATTCTTTTCTTCTTCTTTATTTGAGACTGAGTCTTACTCTGTCGCCCAGGCTGGAGTGCAATGGCATGATCTCGGCTCACTGCAACCTTCACCTTCTGGGTTTAAGCAGTTCTCCTGTCTCAGTCTCCTGAGTAGCTGGGATTACAGGTGGACACCACCATGCTTAGCTAATTTTTTTGTTTGCTTGTTTTTGGGTTTCTTTTTTTTGAGACCTCTTGCTCTGTCACCCAGGGTGGAGTACAATGGTGTGATTTTGGCTCACTGCAACCTCCACCTCCCAGGTTCGAGCAGTTCTCCTGCCTTAGCCTCTCAAGTAGCTGGGACTACAGGGACGCACCACCCTGACTGACTAATTTCTTCTGTATTTTTAGTAGAGATGGGGTTTCACCATGTTGGCCAGGTTGGTCTCAAACTGCTGACCTCAGATGATCTGCCCTGTTTGGCCCCTCAAAGTGCTGGGATTACAGGCGTGAGCCACCGAGCCCAGCCTTAATTTTTGTATTTTTAGTACAGATGGGGTTTTGCCATGTTAGCCAGGCTGGTCTCAAGCTCCGGACTGCAGGTTCGCCTGTCTCGGCCTCCCACTGGGCTGGGATTACAGGTGTGAGCCACCACACCTGGCCTGTAATTCTTTATTTGTCAATTGGGATAGCAATTTCTATCTCATAGAATTTTTTTTTTTTATGAGACAGATTCTTACTCTGTCACCCAAACTGGAGTGCAGTGGTATGATCTCGGCTCACTGCAACCTCTGCCTCCCAGGTTCAAGTAATTCTCTTGCCTCAGCCTCCAGAGTAGCTGAGACTACAGCCACACCTGGCTAAGTTTTGTATTTTTAATAGAGACGGGGTTTCACCATGTTGGCTGGGCTGGTCTCAAACTCCTGACCTCAAGTGATTCACCCGCCTTGGCCTCCCAAAATTCTGGGATTACAGGCGTGAGCCACCGCACCCACCCTTTGTCATAGAATTTTAATGTTAAATTAGATCATGTTAGGTTGGCCATATAATTTATTATCCAAACCAGGATACATTGAGATGAAAGGAGGCCACTGTCTACATTTACACTGGAACAATAGGTCCAAGCCAGGACTGTCCCAGGCAATCAGGGAGGTAAGGTCACCTTGGGTTCTGCATATACGTGCCTCGCCTTAGGGGTAGCAGCAACAGCAGCCCCTCATTGGCTCTTCCACTGTGTGGTGTATGCTTCTAAGTGCTTTGCCTCATTTGATCCTTACAAATAATAGAAGTGCCTAGGCTGGGTGCAGTGGCTCACACCTGCAGTCCCAGCACTTTGGGAGGCCAAGGCAGGCCGATCACAAAGTCAGGAGTTCCAGACCAGCCTGGCCAGCATGGTGAAAACCCATCTCTACTAAAAATACAAAAATTAGCTGGGCGTGGTGGTGCCCGCCTATACTCCCTGCTACTCAGGAGGCTGAGGCAGGAGGATCACTTGAACCCGGAAGGCAGAGGTTGCAGTAAGCTGAGATTAAGCCACTGCACTCCAGCCTGGAGACAGAGGGAGACCCCCTCTCAAAAAAACAAAAACAAGGGCCCGGCGCAGTGGCTCAAGCCTGTAATCCCAGCACTTTGCGAGGCCGAGGCGGGTGGATCACGAGGTCATGAGATCGAGACCATCCTGGTCAACATGGTGAAACCCCGTCGCTACTAAAAATACAAAAATTAGCTGCGCACGGTGGCGCGTGCCTGTAATCCCAGCTACTCAGGTGGCTGAGGCAGGAGAATTGCCTGAACCCAGGAGGCGGAGGTTGTGGTGAGCCGAGATCGCGCCATTGCACTCCAGCCTGGGTAACAAGAGCGAAACTCCGTCTCAAAAAAAAAAAGACCTGGGAAGAGTGTGCAGAGCCTTTCCCGGCCAGCGCCTTCACTCTTTGACTCCCTCAGTTAGTCCGCTTGTTTGCGATTACAGAGGCTGGGGCTGCGAACCGAGGGTCTCGCTCCGCGTCGCCTGGGTCTCTATCTCATCCGTAGGTGTGGCCGTAATGGTGCGGCAGGCTCTGGACTCCTAAAGCTTTGGAGCGAATTTAAGATTTTATTCGTGTGCATGGCATAGAAGATGAATTCTTCCACCTCCACCATGAGTGAAGAGCCTGATGCTCTATCGGTGGTTAAGCAGTTACGGGATCTAGCAGCAGATCCATTAAACAGAAGAGCCATCGTCCAGGATCAAGGATGTCTGCCTGACCTTATTTTATTTATGGACCATCCCAACCCTCCAGTCGTCCACTCAGCTTTACTCGCTCTTCGATACTTGGCAGAATGCCATGCAAACAGAGAAAAGATGAAAGGAGAATTGGGTATGATGTTGAGCCTACAAAATGTTATACAGAAAACTACAACTCCAGGAGAAACAAAACTTTTGGCCTCTGAAATCTACGACATTCTTCAGTCCTCCAGTATGGCAGATGGTGATACGAATGCACGTCGAAGGAAAGCTCACTTTTTTCTGGGAACTACAAACAAACGTGCCAAAACAGTGGTTTTGCATATAGATGGCCTTGATGATACGTCTCGGAGAAATCTATGTGAAGAGGCTTTGTTAAAAATTAAAGGTGTTATTAGCTTTGCTTTCAAATGGCTGTTCAAAGATGTGTGGTGCGAATCCGTTCAGATTTGAAAGCTGAGACTTTGGCATCAGCAATAGCATCAACCAAGGTTAGGAAAGCTCAGCAAGTTGTGAAAAGCGAAAGTGGAGAAGAGATGCTTGTCCCATTCCAAGATACTCCTGTGGAAGTAGAACAGAACACAGAGCTACCTGACTACCTGCCTGAGGATGAGAGTCCCACAAAGGAACAGGACAAAGCGGGGTCCCGAGTGGGCTCACACCCAGAGGGTGGAGCTAGCTGGCTGGGCACAGCTGAAAACTTTTTATCCAGATCATTTTATTGGTGACTTCAGTTTGGGGCTCAAGCTCACTTTTTTCTGGGAACTACAAACAAACGTGCCAAAACAGTGGTGAACCAACAAGGGGCCAGTTTTCCATTCTTGTGGTGAACTGTCAAGTGCAACTTGCAGTAAGTTATCATGGAAGGTTTTTAGATTATGTGATTGCGTATGCTGCATTTTACATTTCATACATTTTATCCCACTGAGTGGTAAAAAGGACAGTGGCTATGGATGGAGTTGCTTTGTTTATGAAAGTAGTTTGGTTTTGTTTTCCTTCATTTAATTGCCATATATATATATATATATATATATTTTTTTTTTTTTTTTTGGGGGGGGAGGAAGGCAGGAAGGGAGGGAAGAAGGACGGTAGGGAGGAAGGAAGGGATGAAGGAAGGAAGGAAAGAAGGGAGGAAGCGGGGAGGGAGGGAGGGAGGGAAGGAAAGGAAGGAAATCAAGCAATGAGAGAGACATTGCCGACCTGGATCTAGAGGTTTACAAGTTGATTTCTTTTTTTTTTGAGAGAAGGAAAGAAAAAAAAAATAAGTAAAGGAGAGGAAGAAAGAGGAAGAGAAAGAGGGAGAGTAAATGGAAATATTGCTTTATTTTGAGAAAGATTGAGTATTAATAATGGCCAATCGATGTTTCATTTAAACTTATGGGTATGTGTGATGTGGTATTGACAAGAATGTATATTTTGTGTATTTGAAGTGGAGAGCTCTATGAATATTTATTAAGTTTACTTGTTCCGGATCTGAGTTCGAGTCCTTGATATCCTTATTAATTTTCTGTCTCATTGAATCTAAGTCTCGTATCTGGGTGTTAGAATCGTTAGCTCTTGTTGTTGCATTGATCCTTTTACCACTATATCTTTGTTGCTTTAAAATCTATTTTCTCCGATACGAGAATTGCAACTCCTGCTTTTTATTTATTTTTGCTCTCCATTTGGTTGGTAAATCTTTCTCCATCCCTTTGTTTTGAGTCTTTGTGTATCCTTGCATGTGAAACAGGTCTGGATGTAACATGCCATTGGGTTTTGGCTGTGTCTTTTGATTGGGGGATTTAGTCAATTTAAATTTAGGGTTACTGCCATTTGATGTTGACTGGCTGTTTTATCCATTCGTTGGTGTAAATTCTTCTTTATGTTGGCGCTCTTTACTTTTTGGTGTATTTTTAGAAAGGCTAATACTGGTTGTTTCTTTCTGTGTGTAATGCTTCTTTCAGAAGCTCTTGTAAAGCAGGCCTGGTGGTAATAAAATCTCTGAGTTCTTGCTTGTTCATAAAAGATTTTATTTTTCCTTCAGTTGTGAAGCTTAGTTTGGCTGGATATGAAATTCTGGGCTGAAGGTTCTGTTCTTTGAGAATGTTGAATATTGGCCCCCACTCTCTTCTGGCTTGTAGAGTTTCTGCTGAGAGATCTGCTGTAAGTCTGATAGGCTTGCCTTTGTGGGTAACATGACCTTTCTCTCTGGCTGCCCTTAGTATTTTCTCCTTCGTTTCAACCCTGGTGAATCTAACGATTATGTGCCTTGGGGTTGCTCTTCTTGAGGAATATCTTTGTGGTATTCTCTGTATTTCCTGGGGTTGTATTTTGACCTGCTTTGCTAGTTTAGGAAAATTTTCCTGAATAATATCCTGAAGGGTATTTTCCAGCTTGGATTCATTCTCTCCGTCGCATTCAGGTACACCTATCAAACGTAAATTTGGTCTTTTCACATAGTCCCACATTTCTTGGAGACTTTGCTCATTCCTTTCTATCCTTTTTTCTCTAATCTTTTCTTCACGTTTTATTTCATTAAGTTGGACTTTGACCTCTGATATCCCTTCTTCTGCTTGAACAATTCGAGTGTTTAAACCTGTGCATACTTCTCGGAGTTCCTGTATTGTATTCTTTAGTTCCATTAATTCACTCATACTCCGCTCTAAGTTGTCTATTCTCAATAGGATTTCATCAAACCTTTTTTCAAAGTTCCTAGTTTCTTTACGTTGGGCTACAACATGTTCTTTTAACTCACCGAAGTTTCTTATTATCCATTCCTTGAAGAGTGATTCTGTCATCAGGATGCGCTCGTTCTCCATCAAGCCTTGTTCCATTGTTGATGTGGAACTGTGATCATCTTTAGAGGGAGAGGCGTTCTGACTTTGAGTATTCTCAGCTTTTTTACGCTGGTTTCTTCCCGTCATTGTAAATTTATCCTCCTGTCTCTTTGAAATTACCAACTTTCAGATTAGGTCTCTTGAGTGGGTGTCCAGGTTGTTAGTTCCCAGGGCCAGAGCAGCAGCGTTAAAACTGACGGTGCTTTTCTGCCCAGGATTCTCCTGTCGGGCTTCCTTCTTGTGTCAGTAGTAGGCGACTCTGCCTTCCTGGGGCTCCAAACCTCGGTCAGAAGGGAAACCGGTCCTGTTTACTCTGCGCTGAGCGCTCTCGCGCCGAGGTTTGCCGTCTCAGCGGCTGTGCCGGCCTCTGGTGTCCTGCTGGGGACCCGTGCGGGTCCTCCGAACCTGTTTACTCTGCTCCGAGAGCTGCCGCGCCGAGGTGCCAGCGGAACCGCTGCACCGGCCACAAGAGTCACGCTGGCCACTCGTGTGTTTCCTCCACTGGGGGATCTTCTGCTCCGTGAGCGACCAGAATTTGTCTGAAAGTGTGGCGTCCTCTAGTTCTCCGCGCCTTCCCTGAGAGCTGCAATCCCGGGATGTTAGCGATTGGCCATCTTGGATCTGTCCTCAATTGCCTTATATTGTAAAAACCATGGGTCCACTGTTGAAACCAAATGTGTGTGTGCAGCTTTACACTTTATTTTACATGAAGCACGTGATTAGGGAAACTCATTTTCTCCTCAAGCCTCAGGACCTACCTGAAGAAAAGTTTTCTTGTAGCTCAAGTTGTGCATGAATTACTGAATATTTTACTCTGCTTTTCTTCATGAAAGTTACATGCTTTGGTACTCCTCACTGAAAGCTGAAAACATTTCTTATTACCCTCTTTTGTGCCTTTTTATTTTGCCAACCATGTTTATAGAAAGGACATGACTGATGACATTTTGCAAATTAAAAACCTTCATTTGAACATGGTAGTCCCTTAGAAAAACAACTCTACAAAGATTTTGCAGCCTTATTCATTATAATTTTAATAAAATTAACACAGAATTGGTGAAGAAGAAGGAAGCATGTATGTTAGTAAAGTGTTTTTGGAGATTATTTGAATGTGACTAAATGTGGTTCTAGTTGACTTCTTTTCACTTTGGTTTCTATCAGCTCTTGAGAGTTAAGTCCAACCACGATATTGCAAACAACTGTAAATGGTCTCTAGGCCTTACTTTGTGATTATACATTATCTTCTGATAGAAAAAAATCATGATAGTAAAGAACTGACAAACCGAAAAAAAAAAAAAACCAAAAATCAAATGCCTATAATAACATAACACCACTTTGGTGCAGAGTCTAGCTGTAAGACATGAATTGCTTGACAGAAGCCTATTCGGTAGGTGTTTCTTTGTATTGCCTTTCATGAATTTATTTTGAAAATGCTGCAGTTGCATTGAATGACAAAGACCCAAATTATTGCTTATGAAGAAATAAAACCAGCATTGATCACTTAATCCTGTTTCTCATGTCCAGGCAGAAAAACGAACTTCAGTGAAGGTAAGATAAATAAATACATATACATATAATTTTTTGGTAGGTAAGTGCTAATTACATATATGTAATGCTTTATTAAATTTCTGAAATATTTAGTAACTAAAGTTTTCTTTTTGGAAATTAAATCCAAATACATTTTAATGTTGATATGACTGAAAACGGGAAGAAATTGAAATTCCTTTTTCATCAACATGTAGAGTTGCTATTTTACTATTTGGACAATGCAGTGTGAAAATTGGACCCCAAAGGGTTTTCTTGTGTTTTCATTGTAAAATACCATCACCAGTGAGAGCCTTGAGTTCACTAACATTGTGACCTTCTGGAGGGAGAGTTATAGGGGGTATTGAGGATGATTTTTTCATGTGTCTGGTTTCCGATTCAAGTGACATGCGCAAACTGAGAAACAAAAACAAAACCCCAAAACTCTGAGGGCGCCTGTTGCTCTAAACACATAATAGAACTTGCTGCCAGACCAGGTGTGTTGAAAAAGGAAAGTAAAACCACCTTCTTTCTAGAGCCATTAAAGCAAAGTTTCCTGTTCTTACAAATTTGTATTTTATTTTGCTTTGCCACGCATCTGCTTATTTAAAAACTACATCCCTTTGGTAGTAATGGCCCAGGACAAGTAGGTATTACTGCTTGATGTTTGTGTGTTTGAAGTGTGTTCTTTTATTCCAGATCATATAGAGCAGTTAAGGCAACTGTAACAGCATTTTTTGAAATACATAGTAAAATAATAAAAGGTAACATAATTAAAATTGAAACACACACACACACAAAAACACGCACACAAAAAAAAGAAATAATAGAATTACCTATTTTACAGGTGGATATCCGCCATTTTATAGGTGAATAACAATAGGCATACAACATTAAGTAACGGTTTTTCTTTTGAAGGAAAATTTGTATTGTTTTAATTATTTTTATGTACAACAGTGTACATTTAACCCCGTTTTGTGGCATTTTCTTTAGCCTTTGCCTTTTCGAGCGTGGCGATGCGAGCCACAGACTTGGGACCCAGGACATTGCCTCCCCAGTGACGGCGGACCTCATCGTGTCTGTCATTGTAATTAGTTTGGATAGCTTCCACCAGCTTAGCCAAAGACCTTTGTCTTCCACCTGTGTGAAAGCGACAGTGGTGCAGGTCTTCCTGTGGACTAGACGTCCCAGTCTTGCCTTCCCCTTGATAATGCAATAAGGGACTCCCATTTACGACACAGGGCAGGCAAGAAGACAACCAGCTCAATGGGATCCACGTCATCTGCAATGACCACCAGCTGAGCCTTCTTGTTCTCCACCAAGGTGGTGACGGTGTTGACTCCTGCTCGAAGGACACGTGGTCTCTTAATGGGGACGTCCCCTTTGCCAGCCGCTTTCTTCTCA